CCTCAGAAACCCAAGGAGGGGTCACTATGAGTCAGGACCAGCTCAATGGCAGTGAGTTTTTTTTTTTTTTGGTGGTAAACTTTACAGGAGCAGACTGTCATGTCTTTCTCCCACAGAGCAGATGGTCAGTTGGGACCAACAACCTTTCAATTAGCAGCCAATCTCTTAACCACTGTACCACCAGGGATAATCAGATATATTTTCCTCATTGAGCACAGGGCAAGTTAAACATAGGCAGCAACAATTCCCCTAGTTTATTCTGCTAATTAATGTTGCCACCAGGAGGGGGTGGGGCAACATTAATTAGCAGAACAAACTAGGGGAATTGCTGCTGCCTCTGTTTGACTTAAAGGCTCTGATAGCACAGTGCCTAAGGCATTTGACTACTAATCAGAAGGCTGGTGGTTCACCATGAATTGGGTCTGACTAGATAGCAATGAGTTAGTTAGTTATGTTTTACTTTCCCTGTGCTCACTTAGGAAAATGTGTCAGGAGTTGGTGCCTAAGGCATTTGACTGATACCCAGAAGGCTGGCAGTTCAAACCCACCAGCCACTCCTCTGAAGGAAGGTTGGACAATCTACTTCTGTAGTGATACAACCTTAGAAACCCAAGGAGGGGTCACTATGAGTTGGATCCAACTCGACGGCAGTGAGTAGAGAAATTGGTGATTGGCATATATATTTTGTAGTCTTTTTGATTTTTAGTAACATAAATCCTAACATCCCAGGTATTTTGTTTGTTTTGGTTTTGGTTTGTGCGTGTATGTGTTCATTTTCAGAAAATTGATGTGATTTCAAACTTACCTTATTTCACTTTGATAACTAGATTCTGAAAAAGAACAAAATTGCATTAGTAAAATTAAGATACTTATTCTGAAAATAAGCATTGATTTTCATAGAAACTTTGATTTTTTGAGAACTTACATTAGTAACAATTTGTAACCCAATAGGCATTACTGAATTCTCTCATGCCAAATTATCAAATGACTTCCAAGCATAAGGATCTTGGAATTCGCTATTAATTATCAGAAAAATAAAATAGCCTGGGGTACCAGAAATCTAGTAGGTATCCAATAACTACTTTGTACATTTGATTGGGGGGAGGGAGGTATAAAGATTTCATTCACCCAAGGGATGATGTTCTGTCTCAACATCACCACAGACATTCCTACTATGTGCCAGCATAACGCCAGCCACAGCTATAAAATGTATTATCTAATTTGATCACTACAACAACCCAAGAGGTAAGGTGAGTGTTGCCATATATTTAAAGATGAGTAATTCTACAGTACTGTATAAGATATAAAACATTTGACTACTAACCAGAAGGTTGGCAGTTCAAACCCAGCAGCCACTCCACAGAAGGAAGACTGGGCAATCTACTTCTATGAAGATTTACTGCCTCAGCAACCAAAGGAGGTTGCTATGAGTCAGAATCAACTCAACGGCAGTGAGTTAGGTTTGGTTTGGTTTTGGTATTTCTTTAATTCTAAGAATTATAAGTATCATATTCCTTGAATTCTAAGACATTTTCAGTTAATATGTACCAATAGTTTCAATTCATAGAGTTCTGATCCCTTCTACCACCAAAGAAAATGCTGTCATTAAATTGATCATGTCCCTGCGTAATGCAAATGGTTAATACACTTAGCTATTAACCAAAAAGTTGGTGGTTTGTGTCCACACTGAGGTGCCTCAGAGGACAGGCCTATTGATCTATTTCTGAAAAAAAAACATCTATTAAAAACCCTATGGAAGGCCCAAAATCCATTAAATGGGGAAGAGAATGTTTGTTTAATAAATGGTGCTGGCAAACTGGAGATCCATTTGCAGAAAAGTGAAACAAGATCTGTACCTCACACCATACACAAAAACGAACTCCAGATGGAACAAAGACTTAAATGTGAAGCCTAAAACTATACAGTTCCTC